GCTAATTTTTGTATTTTTAGTAGAGATGGGGTTTCACCATGTTGGTCAGGCTGGTCTCAAACTCCTGACCTCTGGTAATCCACCCACCTTGGCCTCCCACAGTGCTGGGATTACAGGTATGAGCCACTGCACCGACCAGTTTTCTTAGTTTTCATGGGATATTTTTCAATATCTAGGGGCTCCCCACCTGACTGATAGCAATCCTAATTCCTCATACATCCTAAAAGGCCGCTAAATATGAGGACTGTGTGTCTTATGCTTCAGGAGCCTAGGAACAAGAAAGCGGCACTAACTGTGGAGGAGCAGTTAGCACGAGAGGTGGAACGCCTTAAGGCAAAGGTAGAGGCCGGGAAAGCCTGTTTCTTAGAGAAGTACAAAGAGTGTCAACGACTTCACAAACAGATCAGGCAACTCAGGGCGGCTGCACTGGTAGGTGACAGAGATAAGGGGGCCCAGGAAAGCAAGGGGTGCGAAGGTTAGTGGTTTTTAGACCAAGCCCAGAAGATTGTACACCCTTGTTAAGGTGAGAAAGCTATCTTTCCACTAAAAAGAGGGATGTAGTGTATGGCCAGAAACTAGCGTGGGGGTCCCTGAAAATATAGGCCCCAACTTAGCCACAGGTCTAAGGGAAGGTTTTTGTAACTATCAAGCAGGTTTCTGTGCAGATTCAGAGAGCCCTTTCTTATTTCTGCCTTTTGAGGAAGTGAAGCAGGACCAGAAGAGCCAGCAGGAGCCAATGGGGATGGGAAACAAGGAGCCTGCAGTCAGCACTGTCACCGGGTAGCCCCCTCTCGCATTACTACCTCAGGGTCGGCTAGACACGCACAGCAGTTTGGGCACCAGCATTCAAATAAAAAATCTTGGATCAAAAACCACAACTAGTAGGCTTAGCTTAAGTGTGTTTGTGAGGTATGCGCATGTGTATGTATGCAGGTAGAAGATGGGAAACTCTGAAGCATGAAACCAGTTAGGTCAACCTATCACACTGGGATGCTCAAGACCGCAGTCTGAGCTCCTTGTATCCTTGGACAAATGCCCTCCTGTGTTCCCTCTTCCTTCATGTAACTTGAGCTCAGATACCTATCCTCACACTGTAGGAAGGAATCACATCAACCCAAACCTACGTGCTTCAGGCCTCACTGAGTGAGATGTTTATTCAAAACAAAGATAGTTTTCATGGTTGGGTGGGATTAAACAAGGTTTCATTTATCCCTAATTCTGATAAATCAGTCTTGAGATTTTCCCCAAGGTTGCTTTTTCCCTCCTTGGTCACTTACACCCTCAGTTTAAAAAAAAAAAAAAAAAAAAAAACTGGCATCTTGATGCCAGCTCAGGCCTTCAAGTGTTTTTTTTAAGTCACTTTAATTTAGCACCCTGCCCATAGTACCATTGCTTCCTCCCATTTGCCTTCTCCTCCATCTCAGTCTCCCCTCTTTGCAATGCCAGATCCTCTACAATTTCCCGCCTTGTACCCAGACTGCAATATGTGATCCTAGTCCTAATTTTTTTTATTGTTGACAGGATGAAAACTTTGACCTGTCAAGAAGACTGAGTGAGAAGAAAATGATATATAATGCTCTGCAGAGAGAGAAAGAGAGATTGGAAGGAGAAAATGATGTAAGTGTGTGAAAGAGGGTAGAAAACCCCAAGGTTTTAAGGGGAAGGAGCAGGGTGGCCCAGAGATGCAGTGATAAAAATAAGAAATTAAGGGCCATTTCTGGGACAGTGGGTGAAACAGTTGTTCCTAAACAAAGAGTAAATTTAATCTAATTTCCTAATCTACCACAAAACCCTGTCTTTATTCTACAACTGAAACTTGTTTGGCATGGCAATAGTCACCTTGAAAGAAGCCACACTGATGAAGAGCTAACTTATTTTTGCTTTTAACTTTACAGCTAATATGTGTTGCCTTGGGGGATATGGGAATAACGTCCTACATAACTCTATGCTAGCAGGGAACTCCTTTCCTTCAGCACAACTTTTTCCTTTTTCTCTGCTGCCAAACCAGGAGCAGAAGTGGTGGTCTGTACCAGTGCTGGACCCATGGTAGGCCCCTAATAAATGCTGTGCATTCATTGATTCATTGATTCATTGGTTCATTCATTCATCCAACCAACATTTATTATTGATTGACTGAAGATGATATGGCAGAAAATAAAGTGGTTGTATTTGAAGTCAAAGTCATTCTCATGTTCTTTTTTTTGTTGTTTTTGTTGTTGTTGTTGTTGTTTTTGAGACAAGGTCTCACTCTGTCACCCAGGCTTGGGGTGCAGTGGCACAAGCTTGGCTCACTGCAGCCTTGATCTCCTGGGCTCAAGTGATCCTCCTGCCACAGCCTCCCAAGTAGCTGCGACTATAGGCATATGCCACCATGCCCAGACAATTTTTTTTTACTTTTAGTACAGACAAGGTCTTGCTATGTTGCCCAAGCTGGTCTTTTTTTTTT